GCTGATGATCAGACTCACTGTAACGGCGGGCGGCGGTCTCGTCATCACATGAGTTGTGACAACAACAGCCCTGGACATACATCATCAGAACGGCCATCGGATACTGGAAAGACAAGACGAAGAAAACCTAGCCCCAATGCCTACGAGAAGATGCCTAAGACAACAAGGGGTCGTTGAGCATGATCTCTCGAACCACTAGGTGTCTTGCTTGCAGCAAAGAATAGATTATTGGGGAGAACTCAAAGCTCGCCCTTATCAAACCTACACATATGTGTTCGGGATATTGCATCAAGCTTTATTCGGGCATAGTAATTCAACCAATCCAGGTACAGCTGTGAAGATTGAATTCACTTCCATGAACCAATTGGATCTCTACGAGCCAGCGTGGCCTAGCTTCGAAGGTGGGGCGTTGCTCTACATCCTTTGTGACGTTGTCCATCTCAAGGAGTATGCTACACTCTCTTACTTTTGGTTCGAAGCCTTCCGAATTAGGCTCCTGATGGCGTGCAATGTCTCCTGTTCCATAGATTTTCAGGCAGTTATGATATGACATGAACCCAGTCCAATTATTGATATTATGTACATAGCATTGCTTGATTGGCAGGTCCACGAAACATCTACAGCATCATACTCCTTCTTCTAGCAGCGGCACGCAGGGATCGGCTAACTTGCTTTGTCTCTGTTGAGATGGATGTAGAGGAAGAAACCTGAACTATTTCTGCTGAAGCGCGCCTGTCGTGATCCGGTTGCTCAAGTCTCTCGTTGAATCTGATAGACGATACTTTGGAAAGACTCGGTGTGATATCTCGGGAATCCTGCACTGCCTCGTCTGGCTTGAGTGTGTCTTGTTCGGAGGCTTTTAGGCTCGATGAGCGCCGTTTCGATTGTCTAGCAGTAGCTGGTTGTGGCTTGTGTGCACGCAATATCGTCTTTGCCATACTGCCACCGGTGGCCTCTGTTAATCGCGTGTTGAGGCATTCATCTGAATTATCCTTGATTGAGAGTGCAGCAGTACCTTGGCCTTCCGGCTCATGATCATGATTCCCGGAATCAGTCATCGGATGATCAGAACGCTCACTACCACCCTCGGCAGTCTCGCGAGTCGTTGCAGGGTCGTACCTGCTCGCGAGAGAGGCCTTGCGCCTCCTTTGTGACACCATCTTCATACTCTTCGAGGGAGATTCCACAGTTGGATTTAAGGCAGGTGACGGTGACTCAGTCCCTGTAGTACCCGAAACTTGCGACTTGGCTGTGTCCGACTTGCGCCGCCGATACGCATCCCCATCCTCTCCCGTGCTCACAGGCGCATCAATTGTGCTAGAGGTTCTCCGTGTTCGATCCCCCACTGCCGCGACTAACTCGTTCGTAGGCCGGCGCATTTTATCGCGTAGATTAGGCTCTGCATAACTCACAATGGCTCTCTGGCGCCTTGTCGGTCGGGATGACCCAGTGGCAGCTACTGCATCCCCTGTATCCGCTCCCGACTTCGGCTGCTCAAGTCGATCATTTTTGGTCAGGGACCTTAGAATCACTGACTCGCGGGCCATACTGGCATTCTCGGCTTCTGCTTTGGGGCTATGGTGCGTCGGCGCTCGGTCGAGCGTATCATCCTCGCTCTGCGTGTATGATGTAGTCTCTACAAGGCCCAGGCCATTCCCCTTATTATCGACTGCTGCTATGACATTATCTTCACGCGGGAAGTGTGCATCATCGAGCATGGAATTGAAAGCTTTTCTCGGTGATGGAATGCTGACATTGGTGCTTTCTATGCCTCGAATTAGATGTCGACCCGTACGATCAGAATTAAATATTGGCCTTACTTTGCTTCAGTATCCTCCGTCTTGCTTGCTTGACATTTTTCTTGCTTTCTCTAAGTGGGTGAGTGTCTTCCTTAAACGGTGATCTGCCGGATGTTGACTCAATTGGGTCGACTGTGCCGGGGGGTGAACGAGTTTGCCGATACTCAAAATCGTCGCTCCCATTCAGCTGGCTCTCGAATCGATCATCAATATCTGCCGAGAACTTTCGTTTTGCACCGAGGATCGGTCTAGATATCGAGTTCTTTCGCATAGGAGCTGCCTCATAAGCCGCAGAATCATTCTCTGGAATCGTCGCATCAAGTTGGTGTTCCTCTTTTTCATGACAAGTTGTGAGTGGAAGGAGCACATCGGCATGGTTTGGATTTGTCCAACTCTCGAGCGACCCGTCGACTGTGGGCTCCTCGTTTGGAGGAATGGGAAAATTTGTATCCATGGTGGCTAGCGCCCGAGATGCTGGAGACTGTTGATCAATAGCACCACTGTCGAGCAACCCTTGTATATCGCGCGGCCTATGAGCAGTAAGCATTCATACCCTGATAGAGATAATTGCATTGTATGCTTACTCCAGCGTCTTCCTTGGGAAATACTTGTCTTCTAGTATCACGGGAAGCTTTCCTTCCTCCTCACAGGCAAAATTCTGCTCCATTTCGGCGGTCTTGCGCTCCCAGTTAAGGGCTGACTGTGATGGCTGCGTCGGGCTCCTGTTCTGCGCGGTATCTTGCTTTTTTCTGTAGTCGCGCGGCAGCTCACCCAGCTCAGTTACCAGATTGGTCAATTCCGTCAATTTAGCATCCAGTCTTGACTTGATGTCATAGACCCCGTCTTGAAGTATATCGACAGCCTGATATCTTTCTAGCTCCCGATTAAGTGTTATCGTTTGCTCTCGTAGAGAAACATTTTCGGCGAGTAGGTGAGAAACCTCCGACTCAAGGCTGCGGATGCGGAGGGACTGTATGGAATTGACCCGGGCGATTTCACGATTCTGCCGCACAAAGCGTCGCTTCACTAGTTGTCTGTCAGAAGGTCTGTATCGGAGGGAATAGCAATGTTGAACTCTGGCTGTGTGGAACTTACAGCCTTCGATGGACTCCGTCGTTGTTGTCGATTCATTCAATCGAGCCATGCTTGTGTCGCAAACGCAGACAGCGGCAGTTAAATCTCCTTCTTAAGCTATCACGAAGTTGATTAGCCCTTCACGCGGGTGGAGGAGAGAAATTCCGCGATGGGGCCCTTGTCGCCTACAGTAGAATGAGTTGGGCAAGATACCTCGGAGGATGGTAACAGGTAAACACGATGCGGTTTAGCTTGTTGACAATTGTCCTATTTTGTACTAGTGGTGGCGGCTCCGTCCCGCCCCTCAGCTGGCACTTGGCCATGTCCAGTCGACGGCACTGTTCTGGATCAATGCGTACTAGGTACTCATTTGCCCGACACCACACCTCTGTGACAACAACTCCACATCGTCTGAGACCATACACATGAACTAAGCTTATATTCTCACTTTACCGATCGCAAGCATCTCGCCCTTGTAGGGTAACCAGCGACAGCTCTCTGACTCCTAGATATCTGTTGCCCCAACTGGCCGCGATGCTACCTTCCGCAGCAGCCTCCTTTCGTCCGCCGAATCACTCATCGGCCATCGCTCAACAACAGTCATCGGCCTTGGCAACGCGTATAGCTTCCAAGAAGGCCGAGCTAGAGAATCTAAGGCAGTTGCGAGACATGAGCGGTGCACTGGCAGAACAGATGCAAGCCTTGGAAATCAAGATTGGAACTCTCAGAGATGGAACTGAAGGTATGTTTCCAGGCTAGTATATTCGCCTAGCTGCTGCTGATTCTCTCCGCTCTCTATTCTTAGCCGTCGCCTGTGTTCTTGCAAACTGGGACAATGTTTTGAGGGCGATTAGTATGGCCTCGGGTGAGCATTTTACCTACTCTTGTCAAGTCTCAGTTGTGGTGGATGCATTTTGCTGATATTGTCACCCATAGTGAACCCCGTTACCCCTGGTTCCGCAAGCAAGAGCGATCTCAACAACCCACAATTACCCGCAACCCTCGTAAGAGTACCAGCTGAGTCTCATGATGCATCAGGGGACCGGTGACAGTCATTGGTAGGGCATGGCATAAGCCAGCTTTCCATGATTATCAGACCAAGTATGGGTTGCCGTAATTTGGCAGAGAAGGCTCATATGATGGATACAACCAAAATGTCTCCGTTGAGCATGGCACTTACAACTCAGGTGTTGCAATCTGTGACCTCGCCATTACTGGGCCGTTTTTGAGGCATGGCGCTATCGAAGCACGTGCTCTTCCACCTCGGGGCAGAGAGCTCAGTCTTAGCTGACACTATTCTGGCGCTTTCGCTCAGGGCCAAGTCCCGTAAAATCTCGTTGTGGAGCATGGAATAATGATGGCTTTGGAGGCCATAGGCTTGGTTCAGGCTTAGTTCGGATCGTACCGATCGCGGATTGACCTCCGAGATACTCGTGTCATGTCGTTTGCCAATCGGACATTCAAACATGGTTTGTGTGTTTGGAACAATCACAACACAATAGAAACCAAAGCTTGGGATTTTTTATTCTTGAGCTATCTAATTTCCCGCAAACCTTTGCCTGAAACCTGTTCAGATCTTGCCAAGAGGCCCTTTCTGCTCTGTCAACTTTGGTATTCTAGTCAGTGGCAACCCGAGCAAACAAGGCTTTTCTATCTGTTTAACTTGTGAAAAAAAGATAGGTGTCCCGTATGGCCCGCAGGTGTGTCAGATGTTACTGGCTGGAGCACGATTTGTTCTCTCGTTGCGACCTCTTTCCACTTCTACTTCCGAACTTGGTGAGGTCCCGGGGTTGGCGTTCATAACTACCTAGTATAGGCGAATTTCACGGTGTTGATGTATTATGCTTACTACCACCCACTGGCGGCTTGGGATCGAGTGCAATCTCTTCTGTGCTGGGCTCAACTTACTAGCTGCTGATATCATGTGTTGCCTCGTGCCTTGTTCACTGGCTATGTTTCTGATCGTTGTATGTCAGCGCCAACCGTTGACGGTGTAATGTGCGAGGCTTTCAAGCTGGATGATGGAGTATTCCACAGTTGCAGATTCCTTGTGTGCTTCTGGACACGGCATGGAAATAGAATTGTGGATAACTGTAGTATATGTAATAAACCGTGATATATATATAAGGGGCTGTGGCCTAGTGGTGTTATATCCCCTTGGCATGGGAAAGATCCGGGTCAATTCCCTGCAGCTCAAGCTTTTTGCCTCTCTAGGAAATCATACGAGTGTCTTAAAGTCGGATGATCACCATCTTTTACTCAAGTGCGCAAGCACAGCATGGGTTATATATTCCAAGATAATATCCCATTCAAGGACCCTTCACAAGGCACATGGTATACTGATAAGGGCCCTATAATCTTTACAAGGATTATACAGGCGATGCCATATTTATTCCATACTCAGCATGCTCACTGGTGTTGCTAAACTACACACAGGAAAGAACCAGCTACAACTACGGAACAAACAAGGCACTATCCAGGCACTATCCAGGCACTACATACGTTATAATCTACCAACCTGTACCGCACGTTTGCCCGTCCTGTTCAAACCTGTGCTTTTCTTCTTCTTTATGGCTAGAGACTTTCTTATATAAGGTATAAAAGAAATAAATAACCCGGACCCATACTGTAATTATACATACACATATTAATATGCATATAATGATTCAAGCAGTGTGCTTACAGACATTTGCATCTACTTAAGTTATGGCTGTAGTAAAAACTGGCCCTTTTGAACTTGGAATATATACTATCAAAAAGACTGGGTATATATCAAAGGGGCTGTGGTTTAGTGGTATAATATTCCCTTAGCATGGGAGAGGTCCGGGGTTCGATTCCCCGCAGCTCCATTTTTTCTCTCTTTTTTTACTAGAGTGTAACTAGCAAGATCCAGATAAGCCTAAAAGTGATTTTTACATACTACTGTATATACATACATCCCTATAGCAAATCAAATTGGATTTGTTATATCAGTGTTGAAGATGTCTAGGTAGCATATAAGTATACACCTATTTTACATGTTCAGGTAGCCCAGCCTAATTAATGCAGTGATTACCTCTTAACTAGGCGGTGCAACTTCATGGTCCCTCTCCTTTGTAAGTCTGTACTATTATATTTTAAGAATATTTGACACGGGAATAGACCATCAAAACTCCAATAACAAGATAGAGTGAAGTAACATATAACTATTTCTTACTATCTTTATATACATGACATCGCGCCCTGTGTTAATGTATAAGTATTCCTATACCGCCTACAGGAGCTAAGTTTTCTGCTGTAGTAAGTCTTTTACTGTATATAAACAGTTGCTATAAAATCTACACTGCAGGCTGGGGCCGGCAACTTACCTTAGAGACCCAGTATAAAAAGCCGTGTAGGGGAGGCCGAAGGTCTCCCTACTTAATCTTGTCTAAAGAATACTTCCACTTGGCCTTTAGTTCTGTTTTTAACACCTTTTCACCGCCCTATTCTGCCGCAGCTATTCTACTGTCGCTGAAGCCCTATGCTGTAGGCTGGGGCCGGCAACTCACCTTAAACCCAGTACTACAGATCGTGTAGGGGGGGGCCAAAGGGCCCCCCGCTCATTCTTGTAACAATATATATCCATATCAATGACAATACCTTCTTCGGCCTAAAAGAGCTCTAATATCTCTCAATATAGGAAGTATCTTGATAAGGATATCAGCAGCTCCAATACTAATGCCGGTTGTATGGGAAAGATCGCTGGTGTCAATTATCCCTTCCTAAAGAGAACGGGCTTTGTTTCCATAGCGTGGTCATGTTTTGGGAAGTACCGACCGGATCTACTATGTTACCTGCTGGCTTGAGTGACAAAAAGCTGGAGTTGCAGGGAATCGAACCCCGGACCTCTCCCATGCTAAGGGAATATTATACCACTAAACCACAACCCCTTCTATATCATTGCCCTTCCTGTTCTGTGTTTATGCTACAAAATATACGCTACTACTATCAAGGCCTGAGCCTGCCATTCACACCATACAGTCCCTGGCAATGAGTTTGCACGCCCCTCCCCTGCAATAGTTCGTTCGTCCGCTAGCCGGTGTAGGGATAGTGTAGCCGCAGTTCCGCTGGCAGAATCCTCACATCAGCCAATTCTTTCCTTCCTTATCTGTGCGGTAATCGGAATTAGACGGCGGTGACCAGTCAGCGCGACACCTGACCAAACGGGGGGGTGCAAACTCATTTCCACCTCCCACTGTACTCCGTAGACTTTTAAGTCAGGCTGTGTTTAGCTTATAGTATCATCGCCATCCTGGTCACATAGGACGTATTGCCATACCGAACGAGACATAAGAATAAAACAATCGATGGGTGATGGGCAGCAGACCCCTTTGAAAATCGCTTTCCAGCTCTTGCTTTCTACCCCGATGGTGAATCAGCCCCGAAAACTTGTCGATAAATAGACTTCTTGATCAATGACTCTGACTCAAAATGGGATAAATCCCCCTTCCGCGGTACAAGTAGGGGCTTCAAATTATCAGTACAGCGTGAGCTTGGAGAGAAAGTAGAGAAATATTTAGGAAGTAGCCTCATTATTTACCAACGTGCTTTCTCTACAGGCCTTCGCAATCCAATAGGCGGTCGAGGCAAGTAAGAAATCTCGAGGCTCAAATCAATGGCATACCATACTAAATTTACATCATACCCGGGCTCGGTATGCCTAGGGACTGCAACCCAATGCCTAAATTTGTACACGCAGGATAATAAAAAGTTCATTTGAACGGGCCAGACAGCCGTTTTTTGTCGGGCGGATGTTCTAGGACAGTAGATAGCATTCAAAAATCCCATGCTGGGTAATCTATTGTGAGAAGGCTCGAGTCGATCAAAATGCCAGTGATTAACGAGACAACGATGCTGCAAGTGCCGCCCTGTTTTTCGGCACAAACCTAACCCTGTACCTTTTGGGTATCGCCACAAGGCTGGTGGGGTCCGAGTTGCCTTTCACAGGATGCCAGTCGACACCGTCAACCGGTTCGATTCTGAAGCTATTTAAGGTACGCATGAAAACCAGATATAGCTCCCGATTCGCAAGGAGAGAGCCCGCACACATGCGGTACCCCATGCCATATGTGAACATAGGGGCATCTGGCTGCTCCAACCACCGCTCGGGTCGAAACTCCTCGGGGTCTTTCCAGACTTCGGGGTCTAATTGAAGATTTATGAAATTAGCCTCTGCCACAAGGCATATTCAGTCAGTCATGCGCAGCCACTGACCCATGTTGCAAGCCCAGGAGTTCAAAAAGAAGACGGTGCCCTTTGGAATGACCGTTTTCTCATAAGTGATGTCCCGGATGGATGTTCGAGGAAGTGCAAGACGGAGGACAGTGAAGTATCTGCATGTAAAATGATAGTCAGAAGTGTATGTCGAGGTCAGGGGTGTCCTGTATATTACCTTAGGCATTCCCTGACAAGAGCAGCGACATAAGCGCATTTCTGATCGTCTCCCGAATCACAGAGCGGCGTGTCCTGACCATATAGTTCCTGAATGGCTTTCGCGGCCTTTTCCTGGATATCCGGTCGTTGCGAAAGGAGGCAAAGACTCCATGCCACCAACGTGGTTATAGTATCGAGACCCCCTGATAGCATCGTTAAGCTGATTGAAATGAGCTCATCCGCATCGAGCTTTGCTTCCTTATCAAGTATGACATTCGCCTGTATACAAGACTTGTGTATACCTTTCCTCATTCGCTCATCTAGATCCCGGTTCAATGCGTTGAGATATCTGTCTCGCCGATCTCTCATTTCTTTGGCCTTTCTAGAGTTCCCACTGAAAGGATTCAGCCGCAGAAGAGGGATATAGTCCTGTAAGTTACCCGTCGTGCTCCTGAACTTGCTGATTTCCTCCTCAACATGAGTGATCTCATCGAACAGGTCTTCCTCCTGGGATGTCACACGCACACCCCAGTTAAGGGTCAAGGATAGACTCAGACTCAAACGTTGAATCATTGCCAAAGGATCTACCGGTGTGCTCCCACTGTTTCCATAACGGTTGAGCTCTTCGATGAAGGCTTTGGATTCCACGTCCAAGTGAGAGACGTAGGATTCAACAGAAGGACGATTAAGCGCCGAGGCCGCACCTTTACGGCGTCTTTTCAATGACTCGCTGTAAGGAGAAGTGCCGATAGTTGTGCCTGCTGTATTCGAGACGATCTATACTAACGTGTTAAGCCTGTCCAGTGCGGGAGAGCTAACGGAGAGCTGGAGAGGGTTAAAGAGGGTGAAGCAAACTGTCCCACCTTGTGAAAGGTATAGAACTCTGGTCTTGAGCTCAAGGCCTGTGCATTTTGTCCAAAAATAGTTTTCGCAGCCGCGGCTGAGTTTACAACAACCACAGGGATATTTCCCAGCTGAATCTGGTAGACTGAACCATATGTTCTAGACCAGATGCGATATTGCTCTGCGGCGTTCTTCCGGATCTGAGCGAGGTTTCCAATAAGTGGTAAGCCACGGGGACCTTTGAGCCCAGGCACTCTCGCAGACGCTCGAGTGAACTCGTTCAAGATGATATAGATGATAGGGACCGTGAAGACCAACACCGTCAGCGCCCGCAAAGGCGACTGGGTAATGCTGCCCTGCAGAAGAGATAGGGCTGCCGCAATAGCCATGATGACCAAAGATGAATGCAATCGATCCTCACTGTCGAGATGATTGAGGGGATGAAGAGTCAACTCAGCAGATGGTCTTCGGATCTATTATAACATAGCTGTGCATTGATGGTATCCCACGTGATACTTCCTGCAGTCCCGTCCTCTTCTTCTTGCGAGGAACATTTCCGTTGTACAGGCTTGCCGCCAAAGTAGCCAAGGACAAATCCCTGTGCCGGAGGCCATGGAAGATTTACCCCAGACCGAGAAAAGCCGGGGTACATCAGCCTAGCAGGAAGGGACTTGGTGCTGGGGAGGCTTGTGAGGCCAAGGGGCACAAACAATCGGGTAGTCCAGATTCCGCACTCGGAACCTTTCCGCCCATCCCCAGTGCACATGCCTCTTCGATTTTGCGGGGTTGGGATCTGCTTGCAGTATCGGCAGCTGCCATAGACTTTGGCCAAGGCAGACGAGTTACACATAGCACGCGTAGTGGATGGAGGGAACAAGACGGGGGAGGTGCAATGTGTCCGGCTGATCGGCATATGATTCCGAATGAATGAGTGCTATTCAATGATATTAGAACGAGCCG